GAGTGATGTTACCCACATCCAACATCAGAACTGTGCCATTGGAAGGTGGGTATTGTTCATATCCACCCTGAGATAAAATTTACATAAAATCTTCAATATTCCTTAAAAAAGAGAGACTTCTTTCAACAGCTGCACTGCTCAAAGGAAAAACGTATTTCCTGAATAATTTCCATGGAACTTTATTAACTTCCTTAGATTAGGAACTGACTTTAACATCTCACAGGGCAGCATTAATTTCACATTGATTGTTGGATGTTGGGGTCCCCAAGGTGTGGACGGAGTCGGCGAAGAAGGAAGGACACGGAGGCTGCATTCAGTTGATGAGCATAGCAAGGTTCTCCCACCAGGTTCTGTAGCCAGGTTCTGTGTAGGTTCTTTAGCCAGGTTCTGTAGCAAGGTTCTCCAGCCAGGTCCTGTCTCTAGGTTCTTCAGCCAGGTTCTCTCGCTAGGTTCTGCTTCTAGGTTCTGTCTCTAGGTTCTGTGTCTAAGATCTGTCTCTTGGTTCTTCAGCCAGGTTCTGACTCTAGATTCTCTGTCTCTGGGTTCTGTGTCCTGTTGTCTTGTTACATCTGTATTTATACCAGTTGATTCCAATCCTATCAATCTCTATTTCAAAGGTTAGGGCGTTTCTTATCTCCATTCCAGGGAGTAAAGATTATGTAGCTTAAGTGTGATTGTTTGTAGTTAAAGTGATTAACTACCCACCTGGCACTTAGTTAAGGGGTTTTATCCCCTCCCTAACTTCAGGGAAAAATCCCTACCTGGGGAAACAACCTTTCTCAGAGAGGTGACCTTGGTTAAAACACATAGCGCCAAGAAGGTGAGCAAACATATTAAGAACAGTATGCCATATATGCCAGGTCCCTTGAAACAGCAAGGATGGACCGGCTCCCGGCAGTTGGGGATTTAATATGATAAATGGTATTGATAAAATGATTACCGAATAAGGATCATTATTGATGATGTCTACATATTTATCATCTCAACTGTGATTTCACAAACCCAGGAGTTCCAGGCCCCTCATGAGCAGCATGGACGGGCTGACAGGGGAGAACAGGGCCCTAGAAGGAGGCAGGAGCAGAAGGAGCCTGAACACCCATCTCTCCACACCACGGGGTCCTGTGTGCAGGGAGCCCAGGGCCTGCGGGACAATGACGGGCAAAATGCCTGAAGTGGCTATATGATGGGGACACCCAGACAATGAGACCAAAGCTCTCACACAAAAGCAGGAACAGGCAGACTATCCACGAAAAAAAAGAGAAATAACAAACACTCAGCACATGAGGGCGGAGGGCGGGACCCTGGCTTGAGCTCAGGCTGACCTACCCAGGAGGGCCTTGTTGTCCAGGGTCCTGGAGATGCGCTGCATGAGGACACGTGACAAGGCCTGAGGGAGGTCTGAATCCCTGTGACCACAGGTCCTGGTGGGACAGGGTTCCACTGAGGGACAAGATCAGAGGAGCAGAGATGACCCGGCCAAGGAGTGACCACATCAAAGCCCACAATACACTGAGCACTGACCATGCACAGGCGCCAACCACGCTTCCTCCTCACAGCCCCTCCTGTCCCACCTGGGACAGGCTCAGCACTGCAAACACATGGCTTCTGGAAAGTTCTCAGTGCTTCCATCCATTTCCTCTCAAACTTTAGGATATTCTCCTTTAATTCTTTTTTTTTATTTTTCGCTTAAAGTATTACAAAGGGTATTACATAAGTGTCCTTTTTCCCCCCCGCCCTTGACACGCCCCTGCCCTCCCTTACCCCCCAGTGTCCTATATTCTCCTTTAATTAACCCATCAACGCTCCATGGCAAGCAATGAACAAAGTCACATCAGAGTCTCATTTCAATGCGGAGCAGGAAGTGGCAGCTCAGAGCACCAGGGAGAAAAGGCAGGGATGGGGAGGGCCCAGCACAACTCTACTGACAGGAAAGTGTGGTGAGCAGGGCGGGGCCAGCCCCCTAATCAGAGGTTCTTGAGTCAGGAAGTTGAAGCATGAACACATTTTCCATCACTCAGGCCCCACAAGGCAGCTGCCTCACGCTGTGGAGGACAAGCATCATGAACACATTCAGGTCAGTGGCTGTAACTGGTGACATTCTCAAAGCCCACTTCATGCTCACAGTGTCCCACAGACTCCCCACAACCCAGTAGTCCCCTCTTCCTACCCCTCCCCTCGGTAGGGTTTCCCCTGTATAGGCCCAGAGAAACACATCAGAGCCCTGGGTGGTGTCATTGCCTGCGGTGGACACAGCAGGACAGGGTCAGACCCAGGAAAGAAGATTAAAGAAGAAAATATGGGGAGTGGGTTCCCCCCCAAGGCTCTCATCTGCACTGTCACAGGGTTTCAGGGGTCACCCCCTCATACTCACTGGCAGCCTGAGCATAGCTCCCTCCTTTCCCACCTGCAGGAAGAAAACATCCCGTGAGAGATCAGGGAGGAGGCACAGCCATGAGGCCTTAAAGGAAGCCCTAGTCCTGGACCCCAGAGAAGTTTCCAGAACTCTGTGTATAGACCCAGGGCAGGATGTAAGTCTTTCTCGGTCTGTCCTGCGGCTGCCTGACCTGCCTTGGCATTTAGTCTCCTCAGACTCGAGAAGAAATCAGCCACGGTCCTGAGGACCTGCCTCCATCCTGCCCTCCCTACAATGTGTTCGGCAGGAATTCCGGTCACGGCTGGGAAAACAAGTTCTTGTCAATATTTGTTTGGGGACTTGATGGATCAACCACTTTCTCTATAAAACTCCTACACTGTGCACAAGAGTAAGAAACGCATCCTGTGAAGTAATAAAAGGTCACAATGCATCCGGAAAACGTTCCCTTCCTTCTATCCAGGGGGCGTGTGGAGTCACTGATTGAATTGGGGGCCTGTGGTCCCTTCACTCCTGTCCAGGGAGAGTTGCCAACAGGTACCTCTCGGCGTCCCTTGAGAAGAAACCCTTAGGTGCCATTCCCACCTTTGTGTTTCTACATCAACTGCTTCATCCTGATTTCCTTACCCTCCAATGGAATTGCTTCCCTTATCTCACCCGTCTCTAATCAGAAATGTACAGGTGTCCCATGGGGCACAAAGTGACTCGCCCTAAATTCCAAGATATGTGAGATCTGTGTAACCTCATTAAATCCTCTCCTTTTATTATTTCTTTCAAAGGGGAGGTGGGAGAGTTGGCATCTTGAATAACTTTCCCGACTGTGACAGCCCACGTGTGGCACCGCATTGGGAAGCATTGGGGGACACGGTAGGAGTGACCAACCAGTGAAAGGGAGCCATCGTGTAAGTTGGGTAGTTTGAGGTACACAAGGGCTGAAAATCTCTCTCTGGAGAACAAGCACATTCCCACCAACAGGGGTAGGGGTTGTCTTTTCTCCACACTTTTGCCAACAGGTGTCTCTCCGTTTGGTCCATCTGTCCTTCTCAGCCTTTCACTCTCTCCCTCGTCCCATGTGTGATCTCCTGTCATCCTGTCGGTGACGCTCAGCCTCTGATTCCCCCTGACACCCCATCCTGCTTTCTCTCTAGGTGCAGGGAGTGCGGCCAATGCATTTTCCACCAGGTTTGGAACAACTTACTTTCCCACCAGGATTATATGAGAGAGAACGAGTCCATATTCTTGTGAATAATTGGTTTTATCTGACTCTGTCATTCTCAATGCTGGGAGGTGGGCAGCAATATCACATTAGGGCTGAATTCAATTTCTCCTCTGACTACAACTGTTGGGCAATTTTCCTAAGTGTCCGGGCCCTGTAACCATCCTCAAAGGACAATGGATTGGACACAGTGTTCATGAGTAGGTGGGACTCTAGTAAGGTGCCAGTGCTGGGGTCCAATCCCAGCAGGTCCAGGGGTCCCCAAAGGTGTGGACGGAGTCGGCGAAGAAGGAATGACACGAAGACAGCCTTCAGTTGGTTAGCAGCCTAGTCAGGACCTATAGCCAGGATCTCCAGCCAAAGTTCTGGTCGGAGTTCTGGTCAGGAACTGATGAGGATCTGACGTTTATTGTCTTATTACATCCGTATTTATACCAGCCGATTCCAATCCCGTCAATTTCTATTACAAGGGTTAAGGTGTTTCTCATCTCCATTCCAGGGAGTAAAGACCATGTAGCTTAATTACCCGCCTGGCACTTAATTAAGGGGTTGTATCCCCTCCCTAACCTCAGGGAAAGATCCCCACCTGGGGAAACAACCTTTCTCGGAGAGGTGACCTTGGTTAAAACACATGGCGCTAAAGGGAGCAAACATATTAACTAGGATGGACCGGCCTCCGGCATGCCAGCATCATCAATTATTGGGACACTGTTGCTATTAATGGATCTGAGAAAGTGTCTGGTCTTTGCCCCTGGCTCCTGGCACTGAGCTCCTAAAACCCTGGGCATATCGTGAGTGACAAGTGTCTTTGGGACGCTGATGAGATGGCTCTTGGCTGAGGGTCCTGGAGAAAGTCAGGGTGGGGGCTTGTCCCCAGAAAGGCCAAGCTGATCAGAGGGTTGGAACCTTCAGGCCCTAGGACGCAAGAGCAGGAGGAGCCTGAAATGTATCTCTCCAACCAGAGTCCTGTGTGCAGGGACCCCTGGGCCAGCGGACAATGACGGCAAAAATGAGCCCTGATACTGTCAGATGGGGACATCCAGAAAATGAGACCAAAACTCCTACACAAACACAGTAACAGGCATCATATCCACAAAAGCAAAGAAACAACAAACACCCAGAAGAGAGGTTCTGAGGGCCTGACCCAGACCTGAGCCTTGGATGACAAGGGGCCTGGAGATGTGATTCATTCGAACAAGTGACAAGGCCTGTGGTCCCTGTGAGCACAGGTCCTGGTGGGACAGGGAACACTGAGGGACAAGGTCAGAGGAGCAGAGAGGTGACCCGGTTGAGGAGTGACCACGTCAAAGCCCACGATGCACTGAGCACCACCTGAGCACAGGCCCCGACCACACTCCGTCCTCACAGCCTCTCCCATCCCCCCTACAAAGAGCACAAAATACACAGGAATCTGCAGAATCCTTGGTGCTTCCATTTATTTCCACTGAGAAAATAATTAATTAAAGGGTCTCCTTTAATTACCCGTCACCAGTCACAGCAAGAATTAAAACACGAGGTCAATCCACAGTCTCATTTCAATACAAAGCTGGAAGTTGCAGCTCAGAGCATCAGGAAGTAAAGGCAGGGATGGGGAGGGCCCAGCCCGCCTCTGCTGACAGGAAAGTGTGGGGAGCAGGGCAGGCCAGCACCCAAATCAGAGGTTCTTGAGCCAGGAAGTGGGAGCGTGAACATCTTCCATCACTCAGTCCCCACAAGGCAGCTGCCTCACGCTGTGGAGGACAATCACCATGAACACATTCAGGTCAGTGGCTGTAACTGGTGACATTCTCAAAGCCCACTTCATGCTCACAGTGTCCCACAGACTCCCCACCACCCAGTCCTCCCCTCTGCCCACCCCTCCCCACGGCAGGGTCTCACCTTTAGAAGCTGAGAGAGACACGTCAGAGCCCTGGGAGCTGTCACCGCCTTGGGGGGGGGGGGGGGGGGGGGGGAAACACCAAAAAAGGGGCAGAGCCCCAGGGCAGGAGACTAAGGAGGAACTATGGGGTAGGGTCCCCTATGGCTTCCATCTGCACTGTCACAGGGACTCAGGGGTCCCCCCTCCATACTCACTGGCAGCCTGAGAGTAGCTCCCTCCTTTCCCACCTGCGGGAAGAAAACATCCCGTGAGAGACCCGGGAGGAGGCAGGGCCATGAGGTCCTAAAGGAAGCCCTAGTCCTGGCCCCCAGAGAAGTTTCCAGAACCCTGTGTATAGACCCAGGGCAGGACCAGGAAACCTGAGGGAAGTGCATGTGTGAGGACTGGACCCACCGCCCTCCTGGAGGTCTGTGCTCAGCAGGGACCTGCCCTCTGACCTGGCGCTGCTGGGAACGGGGTCCCCACCACCAGCATCATCAGATGATAAGTGGGTCCCTCATTTTAGCACGGGCCTCACTACAGAGTAAGTGTGAGCACAGAGCCCCACACTGGCCAGCACACGCATGGGGATGGTGCTTCCCGTGAAGGAGGCGGGACACGCATCTACCTGGGCTTGAACCCCCAGTAGGACAGACACTCAGACCCCACCCCTGCCCACCTGAGCGCCTCCTTCCGCACATCACAGCTCCAACCACAGCTCCCAGCAGCAACAGTCCCCCAGCGACACCCATGATGATGAAGATGAAGGTCTTAGAAGGCGGCTCTGGGAGGAGAAGGGAAGGGAGGGTGAGGGCCCTGACCCCAGGCCTCAGCCCTGACCTCCCTGAGGTCCCCCAGGGCCCCTGCTGCCCTGAGAAGAGGCTCTGTGCCCACGGCCCCTCCTCACCCCATCTCAGGGTCAGAGGCTCGGGCAGCCCCTCGTGCTGCACATGGCACGTGTATCTCTGCTCCTCTCCAGGGGGCACCCCCACGGCCGCCCACTTCTGGAAGGTGCCGTCCCCCGCAGGCCTGGTCTCCACCAGCTCCATGTCCTGGGTCTGGTCCTCCCCGTCACGCTGCCAGGTCAGGCTGATGTCCGCAGGGTAGAAGCCCAGCGCCCAGCACCTCAGGGTGACCTCACTGGCAGAGACAGGGTGGTGGGTCACGTGTGCCTTTGGAGGGTCTGAGGGGAGGGGAGAAAATGCAGGAACTTTGCATCCGCCATGGGACACTCCAGCAGCGCCCATGTGACCATCCTGAGAGTGGACAGGACACCTGGGGTGGGGGAGGGAGCCCACAGCCCACACACCAGCCTGGACAGAGGCACCTGGAAGGACCTTCGAGTCTTTAGAAAGTTCTAGAATCAGAGAGACACAGCTGAGGGCAGGAGGCCATGTGACTCAGAAAAGCGTGGGGTGAGGCCTCAGACACAGTGGGTGTGGGCAGCG